CCATCTGTGCCTATTACTATTATGTTCTGAGTACTGATCACTCATCTGATTAGCCTTATCTACACTTATTTGATTAACTTGCTTTTTTATTGTGTCACTAATCTGTTCCCTATTATGAGTATTTCTAAACCTTTCGTTTTCAATTTCTCTTGACTTATCCAATTGCTCCAATGCCTGAACCAATATGGTCGTGTCCGCATAATCAACTGTAGCCAATATTTCCCTTACTCTAAACGGCAGCTGCTGAACAATTGTATAATGCATTTCATAATTCCCTAAACGAGGTGATAAATACTGAGCTGCTCGCACTTGATCGTAAAAATAAGACAATATACTTCCGTCAGATAATCTATATTTCCTCTCCTGCCACCTGGTCTTAATCCGAATCCTTACCGGAATGGAATAAAATTCTGTTTCAAATTTACTAACAAATATAATTATGCGCAAACTGACGATGGGCGCTATGCCATAGGGGTCGGTAGTGGTGCTCAGTCGTGTGGCGCTGTGAGCGCCGCTTCCAGTCGTCGCGGTTGAGTACCAGCGGAGTAGAGTGCGTTGCTGCCGCGTGACGTCAAGCTATCCCGCGTTGCGCGCGCCTCCTGGGCCAGTAGAGCTGCTGTCCGGAGATAGCGCGAGTGTCGACCCTCGCGTGTCGCAGCTCCCTTCCTCCTGGGACTCCAGCTGGCTCTCCCTCTCTCTCCGCGTCTTCATGGGCATGGCGAGCGAGCACCTATTCGAACTCCGGTAGAGTACACGCCAAACGGAAGAAAAATAATAAAATAATCGATTGAAATTTTAATTAGGCCCTTGCGGTCGGTGGATCCTGCCTGGACTTTGCTATGGCCTTTAGGCCCATATCGCGTTTCGGCGTGATTTTCCGCCGAGGACAGGACGGGTGAAATCCACCACGTCACAGTATTAATACGAAAATGCGTGATAGGAATCGAATCGTTTTTTATCCGAGGATTTGATATTCCGCTATCCGTAAACTTGGGCATTGCGATGTCCACTTTATTGGTCCTAAATTGTTCTACCAAGCGTTCTAACATTACCAGACCGGGATCATTTTCACCCATAGGCCTATCTATATTCGTTAGGCTTTCTCTAGTCTCTAACACTGTTACGCGTTCTTTTTCAATGCCTAATTCTGCTCGTAACGATTTTATTTCACGTTGTAATTCTAATATTACTGCCGCAGTGCCGAACAATTCTTGACCTTCGGCCATTTCTACCGGTGAACTTTGAATATTATTATCGCGTAGCCTGCCAGCACTGTATTCCCCGTCTTCCTCTAATTTATCGTCTATGACTTTCCTTTGTTTCCGCGTCCTTACAGGAGTTCGCTTAACACTCATTCTACAAACACACAATTCACACAAACAAACAAAAATTTTTTTTCAGGCAAAACTATTTCTACCTTGGCCTTTACGTTGGGCGCCAAATGTACTTATAACTTTCTTGTTAAATAAATAAGCATAAAACAAGTAGCGAAATTCAAATAACCATGTGAATGATTTATATATGTCTATTCAAAATCAATTAATATTCAGATTACGTCTGATGATAATGATACAAATTTTCAAAAAAATTAACATTAAATTTCCGTTTGGTATAACATAGACATAAAACTCACGCATAACCCATTCATATTCATATATTGATTAGTCGAAAAATATGCATATAACATAATAAAATTGACATAAGAATATAATATTAATTAAAAGTAAGATACGTGTTTCGCTGATGATCCATTTCGTATATCCTTTCATTCCATGTTCCCATCATCAACCAAGTCGTCAATTGAATTATTATTTCGTCCTTCAAATAGGATTTGTCTTATATTGTCATTTGCCAATCAGTCGGGATATATATATTTGGCATTACTATTAAAAATAAACATTCTTCCTATCTTCCAAGACGTCAATTTTTTTCAGTTTTTATTCTCGTGTCAAAGCACTCAAATTCGAATCAAATCAGATTCTTGGTGGGAAATGTACGTGCAATACATCCTTAAATTCATGATACAGTTAACTAGCGATCAATTTGTCGTGTCATGCATAAACTCATCCTATATAATATGCAATAATAAACCTATTAAAAACGATAAACAATTGATCTGCTTCTTTTTATATAAAACGATAGAAATTGTATAGGAAATATTAGATAACGAATCTAAATTTTACGAACTAAAAACACGATTGGATTAGATAGGATTTTTTAAAAATCGTTTTCTACCGATTTTTTAAACAGGGCCTCGAAGCTTGTTCATCACTATAAGCTGGTACAACCTCTTCTACGTAATTTTTTAATCGTGGTATACGTTTTTTTGTCATTCGTCGCACAAGAAAACTCAAACATTCATCCATGTTTTTCTCGTAACTATTGCTGTCATTTGCATCCAAGTCGTCGTCTTCATCTTCGTTGAACAGTACCCTGCTTAAAAAAAAATAGAATTCGATAAGAAACGATAAAACTAATTGCCGATTTCAATCGTTTTCTATCAGTCCTATGTACATCAAGTTGAAGTGATGATAGAGTTTCTATCTAATGTAATCTGAACCGTATTTTTTAAGCAGGGAATTGTTGGGAAAACCATTTGTTATTAAGCCATATAAGAAGGTTATCGTTTATTTTATATTCTACATTTGCATCCAAGTCGTCGTCTTCATCTTCGTTGAACAGTACCCTGCTTAAAAAAAAATAGAATTCGATAAGAAACGATAAAACTAATTGCCGATTTCAATCGTTTTCTATCTATTAATATGAAAATGCGTGATAGGAATCGAATCGTTTTCTATCGTCGCCAACTTATTAGGGTAGAATATAAAATAAACGATAACCTTCTTATATGGCTTAATAACAAATGGTTTTCCCAACAATTCCCTGCTTAAAAAATACGGTTCAGATTACATTAGATAGAAACTCTATCATCACTTCAACTTGATGTACATAGGACTGATAGAAAACGATTGAAATCGGCAATTAGTTTTATCGTTTCTTATCGAATTCTATTTTTTTTTAAGCAGGGTACTGTTCAACGAAGATGAAGACGACGACTTGGATGCAAATGACAGCAATAGTTACGAGAAAAACATGGATGAATGTTTGAGTTTTCTTGTGCGACGAATGACAAAAAAACGTATACCACGATTAAAAAATTACGTAGAAGAGGTTGTACCAGCTTATAGTGATGAACAATTCAAATCACATTATAGGTATTTATTCATGGTTTTAACATAAAAATATGTAGTAAATTAAGTCAAAAAGCGGGAGATCCATATTTCTAAATTTACAAAACTATTATCATATTTTTCTAGGATGAGCCGATCAACGTTTAACTATATATTGAATCTTATAAAAGATTCATTAAGGAGATGGAAGTCAAGTCGCTCAATGATGTCACCTGAAAAGCAATTTTTGATTGCTATATGGAAAATGGCTACACCAGATTCATATCGGTATATTAATTCACGTTCCAATCCTTGCTAAGTCTCGACTTACGAAATATATTTTTTTAATGAGTAAGTGAATTTTATGTTTGGGATCTACATATTTTCCAGATCAATCTGTGAGAAATTTTTCGTTGGAAGATCCACTGCACTGAGAGCTGTAAGAAGAGTTGAGAAAGCTTTAGTTGACCTTGCTCCGTCTTTTATCACCTGGCCAGAAGGTAACAGAGTCGAAGAAGTTTTCAGGGGATTTGCAGCAACTAGTGCCTTCCCTAATGTAATAGGAGCGATTGATAGCACGCATATTAATATACGGGCACCACACAACAATCCAGAGTGTTATGTCAACAGAAAAGGACATCATTCGATACAATTACAGGTGATTTATATATTTTCGATAATTTTTACAAATAATCACTAAGTAGAGATAATTCTATGTTGTCGATGTTTATAGGCTGTTTGTGATCATGAACGACGATTCATCCATTGTTTGGCAGGGCACGTCGGTTCTGTGCATGATCAACGTGTGTTAAGACTGTCGGAATTGAACGAATATATGGATGATTCACATAAATTTCCATATGACTGTCACTTAGTAGGAGATTCCGCTTACACCATACATAAGCATTTAATGATACCCTATCGGGACAATGGTCATCGGACAGAAAAACAGAGGAATTACAATTTCTGTCATGAATCTGCGCGTATAACCATTGAACGAGCTTTCGGATTATTGAAAGGGAGATTTCGAAGTTTACGTACTGTGCTTGATATGGAAAACGTAGATCTGATACCAGACTTCATCATTGCATGTTGCGTTTCACACAATATATGCTTGCTGCAAAATGATGAATATGCGATTGAGGATTCAAATTGTATAGCAGATGATAATGATATCTAAACACAGTTGTCACATAGAAAGGAGAGAAATTCAGGATATTACAAAAGAGATCTGATATGTGATGACTTAATCATACGACACGCTTGAAAATATAAAAAAATATTCTGTATTTTTGATTTTCCAATAAACCTAATGTATGGTACAAACAATTGCCACCAAGATTTTTTCTTAATTTAATATTTTTTATTTTGTAGATGTTAAAAAACGTGTTTATTTTTTTTTTGTAGGACGTCAGCCATTTTCACAAAAGCAGTGAGGAATCTTTTTCGAAACACTGTCGTTTCTTGGTGGTATCTCCCTTGCGTAGCCATATTCTCTTGATGTCTTTCTTCTGCTGCCTCTTCTGCCTTCATTCTAGTTTCTATCACATCCTTTAGTGGATTCTCCACCCCAGATGTTTGTCGTATTTTTTCTGAGTAGAGAAAAATCCGATGAATACCATATTCGTAGTTATGATTTGCAATGATAATAACAGCAGTGATAATATCTTACTGGGCTTTTCGATTCCGTCAACATTGGCAGAACTATCAATTCTTGAACAGCTGCATTCTGACTGTGATCTTGTGCGCTTGATGCATGACAACAAAGTCGTTACAGGAGACATGTATGGCTTGGATCCGAGAACTTCATCTAGTATCTGAAAATCACGAAATAATTCTACAATCATGCATCTGATAAATACGTCAGTCAGACACGTCAGAAAACAACTTACCTTAAAATAATGCCATGTTCTATGGTCATTCCCACATTTGCTATTATGATCTTTTATACCTTTTGCGACGTTATTCCCCAAAAACAAAATCTCAATACGAAATTAGATAGACGATAAAAGGTATTCGGAAAGTAGGAAACCGTACACAAAACGCCGTATGATTCTCTCTCAATAAATTTCTATATTCACAAGACCCGATACGCGATAAACTAGATAGGGTTGGGCGCCAGGTGGTCTCCGGGGAGAACACCGCGAGTGCAGGGCACTCGAAATCTTAGAAATCCTTAGGAAGACGCGGGGAAGTTCGGAACAACGAAAGGGGAAAGGAAACAGGGAAGGCGACACCGCCAAGGGAAGAGAAGTGGAACGATAGGAACGGCGACTCCGCCAAGATAGAAAGGAGAAAGATCGATAAACGGCGACACCGCCAAAATAGAAAGAGAAAAGATAGTAAACGGCGAATCCGCCAAGAACGTAAAAGCACAAAGTCACAAACGGCGACACCGCCAAAAAGGGAAAACGAACAAGACACGAAAACGGCGACACCGTCAAGATAAGAGAAAGAAGCGCGAAGAAAAGTAGAAACAGAAGCGAGAGAGAGAGAATCAAGCGGTCGACGAGAACTCCAAAAGTATACCCAGTTCAGAGGCTAGCTCACCTGGGAGAGCGTCGTGGCGTTCAAGAGGCTAGACGGGAGAAGGAATAGACATGCGATAAAGAGAAGAGGTAAAAGAAAGATATCAGAGAAAAATAAGTAGGGTTAACGCACCGAAGCTATTGTTACGATTGCTAAATCCGGAAAATCAGGCAATCGTAAATGAGGTTTGTAATATAAAGGATGATTCGTTGGTTCGGTCTACTTTAACAGCACGTCCACGTGTTAATACAAGACCTAACGAATTTTATGATTTGGAGTTGTGATAATTTCTCAAGATGTGTCTTCGCGGATCAGAAAATATTCTATTTTTAAGTGATTCTTCAGTAGGTAAATATTTTGGTAAACTTGAAAATTCTATGGGAATCAATTTCCACGGTAAGTATTGAATAGAATTGTCTTGTTCGTTAACTTGATATTTTGTCGTGTTAAGATCCTTTTGGCTTCTTGGTTTTGTTTATGTTTTGTTTTGTTCGCTTTCGTTATTAGGAATGGCATCCTCCTCTTTATTTAATTAATATTTGAATTTCTGGAAATTCATAATTACTGTCTTAGTGTAATATTTTCGATACCTTACGCCGTTAGTCAAGCGTAGAGTGACCTTTTTTTTAAGTAATCGCCCGAGTCGACAATACAGGACGTACTGACTATCAGTGGCGTGCCTCGTAATTTATTTTTGCCGATCACACTATTCTGGTGATAATTTTTCGAGAGCTTGCCATTTCTTTTAACTAATTTATCTTATTTGTATTGCCTGTGTTAATTTATTTAAGTGTATTTTCTACCTGTGCGCTGGTCGTCATATTTATATCGTGCGTGTTCTGACTCTTTCCAATTGTCGGAAAATTTCGCGAGTGAATTTGTTATCGCGTTTTCGTACCGATACGAATTTAAACCTTTGTTCTCGCGTGTATTTCGTAGTCCCCGATTTATTGAAATATTGTCGAAAGTATCTTTTGCGTCGGCGCGGATCCGTCCCGCTGCCGTGTCGTATCGCCACAGGGCCGTCGTCCCTCGCTAATTCCGCGTTTCGTTTTAAGAATTTTAGTTTATATAGAAGCCCTCAAGAACCTATCGCTTTGTATTAGTACTTTAAGGATTTTGATGCTTAGTTTTGCTTTCGCACCTCATTAAATCTCGCTAACCATTTGCTTTATCTCTTCTGCTTTCGACACGCTGTAATTTGCTGTATGGCTTGCATGCCGCTTTCTTGCTTTTTCTAATATAGCTTCGGTGCATTAAACTTACTTATTTTGCTCTGCTATCTTTCTTTTACCTATTCTCTTTATCGCATGCCTATTCCTTCTCCCATCTAGCATCTTGAACGCCACGACGCTCTCCCAGGTGAGCTAGCCTCTGAACCGGGTATACTTTTGGAGTTCTCGTCGACCGCTTGATTCTCTCTCTCTCGCTTCTATTTCTGCTTTTCTTCGCGCTTCCCTCTCTTATCTTGGCGATGTCGCCGTTTTCATGTCTCGTTCGTTTCCCCTATTTGGCGGTGTCGCCGTTTGTGACCTTGTGCTTTTACGTTCTTGGCGGAGTCGCCGTTTCTCGATCTTTCTCTTTATATTTTGGCGGTGTCGCCGTTTATTAATCTTTCTCTCTTTTATCTTGGCGGAGTCGCCGTTTCTCGATCTTTCTCTTTATATTTTGGCGGTGTCGCCGTTTATTAATCTTTCTCTCTTTTATCTTGGCGGAGTCGCCGTTTCTCGATCTTTCTCTTTATATTTTGGCGGTGTCGCCGTTTATTAATCTTTCTCTCTTTTATCTTGGCGGAGTCGCCGTTTCTCGATCTTTCTCTTTATATTTTGGCGGTGTCGCCGTTTATTAATCTTTCTCTCTTTTATCTTGGCGGAGTCGCCGTTTCTCGATCTTTCTCTTTATATTTTGGCGGTGTCGCCGTTTATTAATCTTTCTCTCTTTTATCTTGGCGGAGTCGCCGTTTCTCGATCTTTCTCTTTATATTTTGGCGGTGTCGCCGTTTATTAATCTTTCTCTCTTTTATCTTGGCGGAGTCGCCGTTTCTCGATCTTTCTCTTTATATTTTGGCGGTGTCGCCGTTTATTAATCTTTCTCTCTTTTATCTTGGCGGAGTCGCCGTTTCTCGATCTTTCTCTCTTCTATCTTGGCGGAGTCGCCGATTATCGATCCTTCTCTTTTCTACCTTGGCGGAGTCGCCGTTTATCGATTTTCCTCTTTTCTATTTTGGCGGAGTCGCTGTTTACCTATCTGTCTCTTTTCTTCTTGGCGGAGTCGCCGTTTATTATTACGCTCTTTCCTACCTTGGCGCGTTTTCTTCAGAATTTCTAAGATCTCGGTGTTCTCCCCGGAGACCACCTAGCGGCCAACACTATTTAGTTTATCGCGTATCGGGTCTTGTGAATATCGAAATTTCTTGAGAGATAATCATACGGCGTTTTGTGTACGGTTCCCTACTTTCTGAAGACCTTTTATCGTCAATCTACTTTTGCTGTGAGATTTTGTTTTGGGGAATAACGTCGCAACAGATATGAAATACACGCAAATAAATTAACATAGATGGTACAAGTAATATACAATAGTCAAAAGAAATGGCAAGCTCTCGAAAATTATCACAAGAATAGTTTAATCGGCAAAAATAAATTAAGACTAGGTACGACACTGATAGTCAGTGCGTCCTTTGTTCTCGGATCAGGCAAGTACGCACAAAAAAAAAGGTGAGTCTACGCTCGACCAACAGCGTAAGGTATCGAAAATGTTACACTAAGACGGTAATTACGAATTTCCAGAAATTGAAATATTAATTAAATAAAGAGAAGGATGCCATTCCTAATAACGAAAGCGAAAAATACGTGAACAATATAAGGCAGAGGAAAGAATTATTTAAAGTCAAAAGTCAATATAATAAAGCGACATATACCGCCGGAAAAGATAGAAAAGCCAAAAAGATATTCAATTAAAACACTCAGACAGACTCACGGGGAAACGGCCAAGCTGGAGACGCCAGGGCCCTAGGGGTTTCCACGTGGTCGAGAAGATAATTGGTAACTTATAAAATATTCGACAATTCCAAAGCACTAAATTACAGCAAAACGCAATTAATTAACATACATTCAACATAAAAGATGCTCCACGATAATAAAAGAAAAGCTGAATAAGATAACGGTATCCGGCACTATCGTCCTTTTACTTAGAGGGACTGGAAAGACATTCAGTCCCGGTAAGCGAGAAAATTTGCTGTCGAGACAAAGAGCCTAGACGGGATTACTTCAATTAAATTCACAAAATCTCCGCAATAAAGCTAACGAAAGGTACTCACCAAATATCTAGGATACGAAATCTGGAAAATCGGTCCTCAGACTTCCTTCCTTCCTTCCTTCCATATACTACTTCAGATCGATAGCAAGTATTTTAGTAATCGGCTTCCTCGGTTCACTGTTACTACTGTTTTTAGAAATTAACCTCAGGCTAAGACGCTCCAAACGTAAGTGAACGAGCCGGAATTCGTCGCTAGAGGAAGAGCCCTAGGGGCCCCCCCTCCATAAATTAATAATTCCTAATTCGCACGGTAGAGCGATAGCACAATATAATAATACAAAATAGGTAAATCTAATGCTTGACGGTAGCCAGAGACGAAGCATTAGGCGGCTCGAGTCCGAACATAGGCGGAGAGGGCCGAGCTGAGCGCGGGAGTCCTTAGCACGGTAGAGCGATAGCACAATATAATAATACAAAATAGGTAAATCTAATGCTTGACGGTAGCCAGAGACGAAGCATTAGGCGCTAGAGTCCGAAGATAGACGGAGAGAGCCGAGCTGAGCGCGGGAATCCTTAGTGCGGCCGATCATGAGTCCTCGGTGCGAGCAGCAGGATCCAGCGAAGAGTAGGCCCTGGTTTCTTCTCCGGGGGCCACTGATAACAGGGAACGTTCGGCGACTGAGCGGCACGATAGAGGATTATCCTTTCCTCGTATCGGCGGCACGAGTAGCGAAGGCCCTTTTTGGCGGTCCGTATGGGCGGCCGGCAGAAGTATTAGAGGGATCCCATCCCGGGTCTCCCTGGCTCCACGCAAGCCCTCCGGAACGAACAGCAGTTTGGTCCAGCCTCTGTCGATCGCTCGTCCGATAGCTCAGGAACTCTCATTGGCAGTCAGCTTCGTGCTCGTAGTGTAGACGTAGATTTGCCCAGGACGGTAAAGAAGGTAGGCGAGTGCGAATAGGAAAGCTCAAAAATAATAATAAAAACGAAAAAGCAGAAAATCGGAACAGAAATAAGCAGAAAGGACGATAGACGGAAACAGAGTGCATAAACGGTAAGCGAGACAAGCAAAGCCGTCTTTGGAATGTCGGGTGTCTGACGTTTGTAGGATCGTTGCAGGTGGATTGTGTCTTTTCCCTACTCCTAGCAATCTTTGTGACTGAATTTCCGAAATTCACGTCACACCTTATAAGTCCGTTGTAGTCCGGTCCATTTCGATAAACATTGCGATCCGGGAACACTGTGACCATATTTATTCATTTTCTCGGCTACTGCAGCCCACATTTTGTTGGGAAAGTTTTACCGCTTTTGAAATTATCCTCTTGTGATCGATATTCTTCAAGTAAGAAGAGGATCGCGTCATGCGGCTATTTGAAAACTGCAAGGCAAAATTTTGCATTAACACACTTCAAAATATCATAAGAATATCTGTGAATTCTCCATATTATACCTCTGAATTCTGCACACGCCGGTGTTGACTGATCATATCCACTTTCATCCAATATTTCCTTATTTTCTTGGCAATCATTTTTAACTTCATCGGGATCATCTTAATTTAAATAATAATATTATTAAATAATCATCACAAATTGAATTTTCATGCGTTAAGGCGAGGCTAAAGACCCTTTCTCTAGCTCTCACACAATCACCATGGAGCTATCTCTCTCGTACTCAGGCGATCGTTGTCAGTATTTAGCCTTCTCTTTAACGTACAATGAATTCTACTAAAAAAGGATATAACCATTTAAAAATATCTGGAACTTACAATGCATGGCTATTGCTTCTTGCAGTTTTAAACTAGCAAAATGTAGGTCTGTAAGAGGATAAAGAAATGACAGTATAATGAAACAGAAATAAGAAAATGCATATCATTACTTATGGGAAAAAGACAACGAAACTTTCCTTACATTTTAAATGATACGAGTGGGACCAAAAGATAACTCATCATAATACAATATAAAAAATAATTCATTCAGAGATAAACAATTAAAAAAGTAAGCACCATTTCCCCAACTCTAAACAATCCAACCCCAACTCAAACAATATAACAACATGCTGAACACCGGAAAGTGAATAAAGCAAAAGCAAAAGTAAAAATAAAGAGAACAATCAACTAACCCGTTTGGATACGCTTGGCTTCATTTTTCTGAACGTAAATAGTGTATTGTTTTCGAGGTTCAGCATCCTCAAGTGCAACGGAAATTTATTCGTTCAAATTCATTTTAGGTTATGGTATCAGATGGTATCCGCACGTTGGCACTGTTCACGTTCCTTTAGGTGTTTAAGCGTTTGTGAGCACTCACGCTTTCGCTGCACTACTCCCTGCTTAAATAATACGATAGAATTCGATAAGAAACGATTAAACTAATTGCCGATTTCAATCGCTTTCTATCAGTCCTATCTACATCAAATGAAGTGATGATAGAGTTTCTATCTAATGTAATCTGAACCTATCAGGTACTAATACTTTGTCATCTGACTGAACCTTTTTCCTTTACTTCCGACTTCTGACTTGACTCTATAACTGTTGACCCGAAACTTTCACCGGATCAAACTGATCTTCCTTTTTAATTGACCTATGACTCACTGTTAGGTCTTGATCACTAGGTGGGGGTTCTCGTCTAATTTTTGACCTTACATTCGTCTTTTGTAACCTTTTCCTTATACCATAGCTTTTCGGGTCACACACATAGCGCGTGACCACTGGTTTGTTTATACTATGATTTCTATAAGACGCACATATCTTATTTGTGACAGAGGTGCTAAGGCTAGCTGTCAACGTGTTTTCTTAAGGTAGTGACGGATTGGCATTATTCTTTGAAAATTAATGTTTATTCTATCGGTTGTCATGAGTGACTAACAATAAGATGACACTAGCATAATGCGTCGCACCAGACGAAATGTAGATTAAAAACATGAAATATGACTTAAGGTTCTCACCCGGACGTAACACTCGTGTCAAAGCACTCAAATTCGAATCAAATCAGATTTTTGGTGGGAAATGTACGTACAATGCATCCTTAAATTCATGATAGCCCTGCTTAAAAAATACGATAGAATTCGATAAGAAACGATAAAACCAATTGCCGATTTCAATCGTTTTCTATCAGTCCTATGTACATCAAGTTGAAGTGATGATAGAGTTTCTATCTAATGTAATCTGAACCTATCAGGTAGTTGCTTTATCGTAATAATACGATAGAAATTTAATCTATACCTATATGTATTTTCATATAAGCACGTCTATCTATGGTAATATGAAATTCACGTTCTATTACGTATATGATGCTATATGATTCTATATGAATCATATTTTTATATGTATTAATATGAAAATGCGTGATAGGAATCGAATCGTTTTCTATCGTCGCCAACTTATTAGGGTAGAATATAAAATAAACGATAACCTTCTTATATGGCTTAATAACAAATGGTTTTCCCAACAATTCCCTGCTTAAAAAATACGGTTCAGATTACATTAGATAGAAACTCTATCATCACTTCAACTTGATGTACATAGGACTGATAGAAAACGATTGAAATCGGCAATTGGTTTTATCGTTTCTTATCGAATTCTATCGTATTTTTTAAGCAGGGCTATCATGAATTTAAGGATGCATTGTACGTACATTTCCCACCAAAAATCTGATTTGATTCGAATTTGAGTGCTTTGACACGAGTGTTACGTCCGGGTGAGAACCTTAAGTCATATTTCATGTTTTTAATCTACATTTCGTCTGGTGCGACGCATTATGCTAGTGTCATCTTATTGTTAGTCACTCATGACAACCGATAGAATAAACATTAATTTTCAAAGAATAATGCCAATCCGTCACTACCTTAAGAAAACACGTTGACAGCTAGCCTTAGCACCTCTGTCACAAATAAGATATGTGCGTCTTATAGAAATCATAGTATAAACAAACCAGTGGTCACGCGCTATGTGTGTGACCCGAAAAGCTATGGTATAAGGAAAAGGTTACAAAAGACGAATGTAAGGTCAAAAATTAGACGAGAACCCCCACCTAGTGATCAAGACCTAACAGTGAGTCATAGGTCAATTAAAAAGGAAGATCAGTTTGATCCGGTGAAAGTTTCGGGTCAACAGTTATAGAGTCAAGTCAGAAGTCGGAAGTAAAGGAAAAAGGTTCAGTCAGATGACAAAGTATTAGTATAAGTTTGGGGGTTCTGGATATAGATTCCTGCACCGACATAATACCGACACTCCAGAGCCTTCGAAGGTGGGTGTCCGTGCTAAGTTGCCGTCGTGAGCTCTACGATTTCTGAAAGTGACGTCATCAGGACCCTCGATTCCAAGAATGTTTGCTCGATTCCGGGAATTTTGCGTCACATTTCGGGAATTTGGCGCTCCATTCTAGGAATTACGTACCGACATAATACCGACACTCCAGAGCCTTCGAAGGTGGGTGTCCGTGCTAAGTTGCCGTCGTGAGCTCTACGATTTCTGAAAGTGACGTCATCAGGACCCTCGATTCCAAGAATGTTTGCTCGATTCCGGGAATTTTGCGTCACATTTCGGGAATTTGGCGCTCCATTCTAGGAATTACGTACGATCGAGAACCTTCTAGAACATTTTAGAACCTTCTAGAACATTCTGGAAGCTTCGACGGTTCGTGTCCGTGCTAAGTCGGGAAAGTTCGCTCCCAGAGCAGGCGGTCCTCTCGCTCGACGTTTTGAGACAGCCCCTTGCCCTCCACACCGGAAATGCCATCCAGAAGCTTCGACGGACCCGTACACGTGCGTGCAGGTTTCGGT